GAAAATAAAGTAATGGGTAGGGTTAGGGTAGGTGTAGGGAGGGTTTTATTGTCCCAATACTGCGGTGTCCATTTAATTATTTGAATTGAAATGATAATTTACACTAAATATGTTATTGCATACTGTTTTATAAATGTACTATAATACTGAGGTCCAGATAATTGCCACTATTTGCAATAAGTAGTAAAAATAGCAGAAAATCCTGCTATTTTAACATAGCGTAAATAGAATCATCGCTATTTGCATTTGGTGTAAATAGCATCTATCGCTAAGAAAATATGCTATTTTCACTTAGTGTAAATAACCTCTAATTGCTATAGCCGCTGCCTTAAATAAAACAAACACACTAACTTTCACTATATTTTGTGTAAGTCTTGTGTAAACCTAAACTCCTTACAACAAATGGATACTGTCAAGATACTTTCACCAGACTCTAAGATATTGGAGTAAGAGGTCAATAATCTAGGTAAAGTGTGTATAACCATCAGATTTTCTTCTGCTTCTCCCTCCTCCCTTGGAAAAAAATCGTGATGGTCTACAGCCCTGTGCTGTCCCATCATCCTTTCTCCTTGTCTGTTTCTCTTTTTTCTGTCTCGCTCTCTCTCTCTCTCTCTGGTGACATTTGTGTCGTGTCCTCACCGCTTGTATCTGCAGTGTTGCTCTGATCTGGGCTCACCATGAGCTCATTAGGTCAGGAGAACACAACATCACTTGCCGTGCAGTTACAGCTGACACACACACACACGTCTACACAAACACATGCAGAATTCATGCGGAAAAATGGCAAAACATTCACCCATTTTAAAACAGAATATAACAGCAGGCAATATACCATAATATGTGCATGTTTAAAACACCAACATTATATTAAAAAGCTTGAGGTAAATTCACTAGACAGTTGAACCACTTTTGCACCTGCGTCATCTTCACTAGCCACCTGTAATCCAGTTTAACCAGGCGTTATCTGTGCTGGTTTAGCACTGCATCAGGTGTATTTAAATTAACTCATTGTCATTATTTTCAGCACAAACACACCTTCTTTCTATGCTAATTTGGCTCATTATAGATGCTATCTGCCTGGTACAATTAATGCTATTACTACACATGGAAAGCAGGTGGCAGGGATGGCAAAAGTGTTAGTATTTCACAGGTACATTTGCAAAAAGTGCTTGCATTTATGTTAGTACCAACTCAATTAGTACTGCTTTGAAACAGTGTCATGGTATTTGCACAGCCACTCTGTGACCGTTAATACTGAACTTCCTAAAAGAATGAGTGTGTTCAGTGGCATACTGTTTTTTGTTGTGGTATCAAAACTGGCATGGAGAATTGTGATATTTCCCTAGTACTTGTACCTTATTTACATAATCCTGTAGTGAATCAGGTGCTAAAACAACGCAGTCGGCACGTGCACATAACTAACTGGATCAGTTGGTGCAATTGGACCAATTCTCACTATTAACTAGTTGCTTATTAGCATGCCTATTTTTAAAATATTGGCTGTTTATTAGTACTTATAAGGCACATATTCCGCATGAACATATTTTACATCCCTAATCCTACCCAATACATAAACGTTACAACTACCTTACTAACTATTAATAAGCAGCAAGTTAGGAGTTTATTAAGGCAAATGTCATAGTTAAAGGGATAGTTCACCCAAAAATAAAAATTATGTCATTAATTACTCACCCTCATGTCATTCCAAACCCGTAAGACCTTCGTTCATCTTCAGAACACAAGTTAAGATATTTATGATGAATTCTGAGAGCTCTCTGACCCTCCTATAGACAGCAAGGATCCTTACACGATCAAGGCTCATAAACGTAGCAAGGACATCGTTACAATAATCCACGTGACATCGGTGGTTCAACCGTAATTTTACGAAACTACGAGAATACTTTTTGTGCGCAAAAGAAAACAAAAATAACGACTTTATTCAACAATTCGTCTCCTCCGTGTCACCCTGGTGCCATTTTGGGGAGTATCACATACGTAAACAAAATCCATATGCAATGTATGTACGCGGATACGTTGTTTACATTCAGATCAAAGTGTAAACAGTGTATTCGCGTATGGAGCTGCTGACACAGAACAGCATACGTTGTTTACGTATGTGATACTCTCCAAAATGGCGCTATAGGGTGACGCAGACGAGATGAATGGACCCTTTTCATATTTCCAGGTTTCTCAGCAGCGGAAGTCGTCATAGTTGGGTAAACTTGAAGAGCAGTGAATGGGAGAGCACCACAAATATATTTTTTGCATTCCCTATTTGCTCAAATAGCAAAAGAAAAACGCCACAATAGTGTTTTCATGACTTTCAATAAAAGGAAAAAAAAATTTGAGAGAGACTGATAACGGCAGTCAGAAGAGAGAACGATGTCAAATTTACCGTCCCTCCGATAGATGCTGCATTAGAAACACCCTTGCATTAGCGTTAACAGTTTTTTTGTAATTTGATGCAAAGGTGATATAATACAAAGAATAGTGTTATAAATGTAGATATTTTGAAAAATACAAATATGAAAAACTTTGAATAAAGGTCTTACGGGTTTGGAACGGCATGAGGGTGAGTAATTAATTTTCAATTTTGGGTGAACTATCCCTTTGATGTTTTGTTAAAGGGGTCATCGGATGCAACATGCACTTTTACAAGTTGTTTGAACTGAAATGTGTGTTGGCAGTGTATGTACACAACCACCCTATAATGATAAAGATCCACCCAGTGTTTTTAATCTCGTTAAATCATTTCCCCTTTCTCAAATTGAGCCAATCTGAGATACCTGTCTGTGTGACATCACTCCTAAGCGATTGAGGTGTTCTGTTGTTGGATGTAATAATGAACATAGCAGTCGTCACTCCCAACATCTGAGCCGCTGAAGACACAGCGGATTACCTTTGTTTTTGAAGGAAATGCACCCTGATCTACCTAAATGCGTCTATATTTACGGGAATCATTCGTGATCCAGCTTCACCTCCGGAAGAAGTGAGTGTAAGGTTTTATTAATGAATCTTTGCAAATTGCCTTTCCTAATAATGTTCTAATTAGCAAATTTCACGATGAATGCGGCTAAAGTAAACGGTCTCTCTGAGAGCGGCTCGGAAGAGAGGGGCGGGGTCAGCAGAGCTCATTTGCATTTAAAGCAACATGCAATAAAACAGCTTCCTGTAGACAGAGCTGTTTTTGACAGGGTAAAAAGGGTGTTGTTTTACACTACCATTGAGAAATTTTAAGCAAACCATGTTAAAGACTTTTAGACTTCATTAAGACCCTAAAGAATCATATCAACTTGTGGAAAATGGGCATCCGATGACCCCTTTAATAGCGAGAATTGGACCTTAAAATAAAGTGTGACCATTTATTCTTAGTGAATGTTATAAGAATGCAGATGTGTTTGTTCTGACTTACCCAGTAAGCACCACTACAAAATCCATGACATTCCAGCCATTGCGTAGGTACGAGCCCTTGTGGAAGGCAAAGCCCAAAGCCAAGATCTTAATGCCTGACTCAAAACAGAAAATGCCGATGAAGTAGGGTTCTCCGTGTCACCCTGGTGCCATTTTGGGGAGTATCACATACGTAAACAAAATCCATATGCAATGTATGTACGCGGATACGTTGTTTACATTCAGATCAAAGTGTAAACAGTGTATTCGCGTATGGAGCTGCTGACACAGAACAGCATACGTTGTTTACGTATGTGATACTCTCCAAAATGGCGCTATAGGGTGACGCAGACGAGATGAATGGACCCTTTTCATATTTCCAGGTTTCTCAGCAGCGGAAGTCGTCATAGTTGGGTAAACTTGAAGAGCAGTGAATGGGAGAGCACCACAAATATATTTTTTGCATTCCCTATTTGCTCAAATAGCAAAAGAAAAACGCCACAATAGTGTTTTCATGACTTTCAATAAAAGGAAAAAAAAATTTGAGAGAGACTGATAACGGCAGTCAGAAGAGAGAACGATGTCAAATTTACCGTCCCTCCGATAGATGCTGCATTAGAAACACCCTTGCATTAGCGTTAACAGTTTTTTTGTAATTTGATGCAAAGGTGATATAATACAAAGAATAGTGTTATAAATGTAGATATTTTGAAAAATACAAATATGAAAAACTTTGAATAAAGGTCTTACGGGTTTGGAACGGCATGAGGGTGAGTAATTAATTTTCAATTTTGGGTGAACTATCCCTTTAATGTTTTGTTAAAGGGGTCATCGGATGCAACATGCACTTTTACAAGTTGTTTGAACTGAAATGTGTGTTGGCAGTGTATGTACACAACCACCCTATAATGATAAAGATCCACCCAGTGTTTTTAATCTCGTTAAATCATTTCCCCTTTCTCAAATTGAGCCAATCTGAGATACCTGTCTGTGTGACATCACTCCTAAGCGATTGAGGTGTTCTGTTGTTGGATGTAATAATGAACATAGCAGTCGTCACTCCCAACATCTGAGCCGCTGAAGACACAGCGGATTACCTTTGTTTTTGAAGGAAATGCACCCTGATCTACCTAAATGCGTCTATATTTACGGGAATCATTCGTGATCCAGCTTCACCTCCGGAAGAAGTGAGTGTAAGGTTTTATTAATGAATCTTTGCAAATTGCCTTTCCTAATAATGTTCTAATTAGCAAATTTCACGATGAATGCGGCTAAAGTAAACGGTCTCTCTGAGAGCGGCTCGGAAGAGAGGGGCGGGGTCAGCAGAGCTCATTTGCATTTAAAGCAACATGCAATAAAACAGCTTCCTGTAGACAGAGCTGTTTTTGACAGGGTAAAAAGGGTGTTGTTTTACACTACCATTGAGAAATTTTAAGCAAACCATGTTAAAGACTTTTAGACTTCATTAAGACCCTAAAGAATCATATCAACTTGTGGAAAATGGGCATCCGATGACCCCTTTAATAGCGAGAATTGGACCTTAAAATAAAGTGTGACCATTTATTCTTAGTGAATGTTATAAGAATGCAGATGTGTTTGTTCTGACTTACCCAGTAAGCACCACTACAAAATCCATGACATTCCAGCCATTGCGTAGGTACGAGCCCTTGTGGAAGGCAAAGCCCAAAGCCAAGATCTTAATGCCTGACTCAAAACAGAAAATGCCGATGAAGTAGGGTTCGGTGTCCTCCTGTGAGAGAGAAACACAAAGGGAAGGACAAAGAGAAATAAGAGTGTGTAAACATGAATTAACCACTGGATTTCAGCAAAAGGAATGATACATCAGAGACCAATTATTTCCTGTGTTTTCTGTTGAGTTACATGGCTTCTGGTATCACAATATACGGAAACAAACAAACACTGATCAACACAACCGGAACTCACCAAGCGCTCTGACATAGGTGTCTTGTCCCCATCTGGAAGATGCTGTTCCAGGGCCAGGACGATGCAGTTAGCAATGATGGTAGCCAGGATCATGTACTCAAATGGAGTGAGAATCACAGGTCAAGGAAAACGTTTAAAACAACATGAATGTTACAAAAGCTTTGCAAAGGACTGTAATTTACAGATGGCTGCTAGCTGACATTCCAGAAAATATATAATAATATAAATATAGTGATAAATATAACTTCATATTTAAAAACATAATATTAAATGATAAATACAATCTTGAAAAGGATCAGTTGTAAATTCAATTACTATTTTGTATTGTGGAATGTATGCATATATACATATACAAACAAACATACTGTACATACAAACATACATGCATACATATATATATATATATGTGTGTGTGTGTGTGTGTATATATATATATATATATATCT